TTCTTCTCAACATATTGTCAGATCCTTGCTAGAGTATTATGTACAGTGCTTTGAGTAATTTATAGTTGAGTCAATGATTGTGTGTATTTTGCATCATAATATTATTTGTATATCTGATTCACTCAAACATGATTAAAATTTATTTCTCTGTCACAAACACAATTATTACTATTTTGCTTCTTGGCTTCTAAGTAATAGCATTAATTACTATATACATGTGTTTTGAAAATAATTCATTTAGTGTCAAACTGGCAGAAGTATCAGAAACATCCTAACTTCATTCAGCTAATTTCATTATTCTGGAAAACAAAGCCAAAGAATGTAACAAAAGCTTTCTTTTCTGGAAGTATTTTTTTTTTTTTTTTTTTGTGAGACGGAGTTTCGCTCTTGTTACCCAGGCTGGAGTGCAATGGCGCGATCTCGGCTCACCACAACCTCTGCCTCCTGGGTTCAGGCAATTCTCCTGCCTCAGCCTCCTGAGTAGCTGGGATTATAGGCACGCGCCACCATGCCCAGCTAATTTTTTTGTATTTTTAGTAGAGACGGGGTTTCACCATGTTGACCAGGTTGGTCTCGATCTCTTGACCTTGTGATCCACCCGCCTCGGCCTCCCAAAGTGCTGGGATTACAGGCTTGAGCCACCACGCCCGGCCTCTGGAAGTATTTTTAAGTAATTACCAAATCTTCAAGCATATCTTGTTAGAAGTCTTTAATGATTTGGGAATTCTTTAAATAACAATTTCCTTGAAGTTCAGAAAAGCCTTGATTAACAAAAAAAAAAATTGCTTAGAAGTTAAGGCCTGGGACATATCCATCCTTTTATACTTGGCTTGCTTGTTTTTGCTTAAGCATCAAACACAGAGAAACAAATTCACTGCTGGCTACTGGATACTTGCTCGGTGACTTCAATTTAACTTCAAAATCACCTAGTCTAGTCTACGAGGTGGACCAACTCCCATTTCATTAGCTTCACAGTTAAGGCACTACAGTTGGACTCCTCTGGATTGAAGAAATGGAAGATTAAAGGAAGATTATACCTCTGAGAACAGTTTAAACAAAACATTTTAAGATAAAAACTCATTGATTTTCATTTTGAGTTTTTATCTAGGAGAGTAGAAAGATAAAAATGAGTAGAAAGGAATTCATTAATAATTCTATCAAATGGAATTCCACACTATATGCCAGACAGGTGGCCCTCTAGCACCTCTTCTTATTAGTTGCTGCTTACCCTTTTGTGTGATAATTACACATGACAACACATGTACTGAAAATCCTAACCCATATGAACTAATCTCATCAGGTGGCATATCCCTCCACTTTGCCCCAACATGGAAAAGCCAAACTAATTTTCTGTTATCACTCTGCAGTAGCCAAATCTATACTCTCCACTCAGCTTATTTAAGTTTCTGTCAGTCGACCATCCCAGCATCACCTACTTTATCTCTGTCTTCTACTGACTCCAAAAGCATAAATCTCCACTTCTTTAAGACTTTGATATGACACGGTGGCTCACGCCTGTAATCCCAGCACTTTGAGAGGCCGAGGTATACAGATCACCTGAAGTGAGGAGTTCAAGACCAGCCTGACCAACATGGAGAAACCCTATCATTACTAAAAATACAAAAACTTAGCTGGGCGTGGTGGCACATGCCTGTAATCCCAGCTACCCAGGAGGCTGAGGCAGGAGAATCGCTTGAACCTGGGAGGCAGAGGTTGCGGTGAGCTGAGATTGTGCCATTGCACTGAAGCCTGGGCAACAAGAGTGAAAAAAAAAAAAAAAAAAAGACTCTGGCACCTTTTGCAGTCTTCCCTTCCACGGGTAAGTTCTACCATCTTGCTATGCAATATCAGAGACCCTGTGGACAACCTCTGGTATACTCTAGCTTAAGAGTTTCTTGTGTTTAGGTGCTGGGTAACTTTAGCATCTAAAACAGTGCCCAACAATATCTGTTGAAGCTATTACTGGAGAAACCCCACAACTGCCTGGTTTAATGCCATTTCAAGTTACAGCCCTCCACTTCCACATCAATTCTGTGTGCATGGCCCACTCCTCACATGGACCCTTTCTAGTCTTCATACTCTCCTTTACATCTCCCTCACAGCGATATACATTATCCGCATTATTTTCTTTACCAATGCTGATTTTCCTCCTACCTCTCTGAATACTACTTCTCGGTTTCTTTTGGAGTTTCTTCCTCTTTTCATTTTTAAATGTTGCTTTATGTGATGCCATTCTGGATTCCCTTCTCCATTTCCCTAGGAAATCTCAACCATATCATCCACATGCTGATGACCCTTGAATCTTTATTTCCAACGCCATCTTCCCTGAAGTCTAACACATCAAATATGTACCAGTGTCTCAAAGTGAACTCTTCACTGCATTGGTCCCAGCCTATTACCCAATAAGCTGTGCTTCAGTGTTCCCTAGCTTGGTGAACGGCCAAACTTACCACCCAATTTACCAAGCCAGAAACTTGAGTTACCTTTCCCTCACTTCTTTTTCACAAGCTCACCTATTTTTTTTCACAACCTCACATATTTACACAAACATTAGGTCTTATGAATTCTACTTCCCAGTAAATATTTCACAAATATATCAATTTCTCAGCCTGGGCAACATGAGGAAACCCCATCTCTAAAGAAAATTACAAAACTTAATGGAGTATGGTGGCACGTGCCCGTAGTCCCAGCTACTCAGGAGGCTGAAGTGGGAGGATTGCTTGAGTCTGGGGAAGTCGAGGCTGTAGTGAGCCATGATTGCACCACTGAACTCCAGCCTGGGAGACAGTGTGAGACTCCATCTCCAAACAAACTAACAACAGCAGCAACAACAAAAACTGTTGCTATTCAAATCCAGGCAACCACAACACTCATCCAGATAAGTGCAGTAGCCCAGCTTCCTGCCCACAGCCATTCCTTAGTTCTAGTCAGTGATCTTTCTTAGTAATTATGACAAAGTCATGCGTCCTTTAAAACCCTTCCTTCTGTGACTTCGCAGTGCCACTAGAAGGAACTGCATTCACTTGAACAAAGACTACAAAATCCAACTCCTGCTTATTTCTTTTGCCAGTAGTGAATAATTCTCCTTCTTCTCCCCTCTCCTATCTTCAGACACACCCTCTATGACAGCCTTACAGAAATTCTTTCAGTTTCCCAATCTTGCCAAGCTCTCTCACATACAAGGAGCACTGAAATGTTATTCCCTCATTTGGGTACATCTTTGCCTCCACTTTACCAGGCCTGAGTTAGACAGCAGCCAATCTCGACAATGCCACACACTGTTTAAAATCCCTTACATGCTCCCTGTGGCATTTTAATTTTACTCATTTTCTGTAGACTTCAGGAGATATTGCAGCCCGTTTATCATGGCATATAAGACCCTTTGTGACCTGGGCCCTGGTTACTTCTCCAGCATCACATCTTGCTAGCCTCTACACCCCAGCCATCATGAACCACTCACCGAGCTCTCGCCTCCATCTTGCATACAGCCTATGCGTATGCTGTCCTCCGCTCCCATGGGTTGGGCACTCCAACTACCCTTCAGAACTTAGCGGGTGAGGTGGGACTGGCTTCCTGGTCTCGTTGCCATCACTTTGGCTGCCCACTCCCAGACCCACTCTGGTTTAGCTGCTCCTCTCTCAGAGCATCTGTAGCATATACAATCTTCTTGTCACTATCATAGCACTTACCAAACCATGTTGTTTACGTCTCTCACACTGACCAGATTATCATTTTCCCGAGGGCAGGAGGTATTTTAGTTCATAATTCCAATGTCTAATGTTCAGTGTTTAGAAGGTGCTTGATTAATGCTTTTGTGAAGAAAAAAAAAATGAATGCCAGGTATGGAGGGATGTGCCTGTAGTCCCAGCTGCTTGGGAGGTTGAGGCGTGTGAATTGCTTGAGCGCAGAAGCTTGAGGGCAGCCTGAGCAACATAGGGAGACCCTGCCTCTAAAAAAGTAAAAAATAAAATGTAAAAGATAAAATTAGTTAACTAATGAATAGATAAATGAATAAATGAATGAATGGATGAGGGAAAAAGTTGTTCTAAAGTCTCTACAGAAACATCATGCCTGCATTACACTGGGGAAATTTAGGAAGACATTCCAGGTTCAGCTTCTCCATGATTAGCAGAAAATCAGGCTCAGTATCTCTCCTCTCTAACTTAAAGTCTTCACTGGGCACACAGTCTGAAATTGAACCTGTTAAAGCAATCAGTTGGTCAATATGCACCTTCCCTTAAAAATGCAAATGTCCGGGCAATTCCTGTACTGCTTAACATCTATTCATTTACTTAAATTGCTTTTCCTCCTAACATATGACAGAAACTACTCTACTGAAGAAATGGAAATTCTGTGTGCCAGGAAGAATAGAAAGTTTAGTAGCATGGGTATATTTCAAAAGCTTCCCAAACCATTGTAATAAGCAACCATATTTGAAAATTACTATTATTTAGTGCTTTTCAACCTTACTGTGCAGACAGATCACCTGAAAGGGCTACTGAAAGTGCAGCTGCAGATGCAGTAGGTCTGAGGTGGGGCCCAACACTGCATTTTTGCATGTTCTCAGCTGCTACTGCTGCTGCTGCTGCTGCTGCTGCTGCTGCTGCTGCTGCTGCTGTTGCTGGTCCATGGACCGCACATTGAATACCAAGGATCTAGTCATTCTCCTGAAGCAGGCCTCTAACTTATTTACTTTTAGGGATTAATCAGTGGTGAGAAAAGGGATAATGGCAAAGGTCTGCAAGGGTGAGCACAGAGTAACTATGTTTGTAAACTAAGGTGTGCCTGTTGGTTTTTCTTCACAGGAAACACAGATTCAAGTGTTCATTTCTGATTGTGCTCATTCTAATTGATGCAAAGCCTGAACTATCACCCCCATGCTAAGAGCACAGCAATCAAAGAAAATGTTAATAAAGAATGATACATTTTTATCTGAGAATACCTAAAATACACCACATTCTGCCTCTTTTTCTTTCTTTCTTTTTTTTTTTTTCTCTCTCTCTGGCTATAACTTCCTCTTTAAAAATATATTGTTTGCTCTCCTTCATCCCTCTCCAGAAGAGAAGAGGAAACACAAGAAGAAATGCCTGGTGTACAGGCCCAATTCCAACTTCCTGGGTGTGAAATGCCCAGGATGCTATAAAATCACCACGGTCTTTAGCCATGCACAAATGATAGTTTTGTGCGTTGGCTGCTCCACTGTCCTCTGCCAGCCTACAAGAGGAAAAGCCAGGCTTACAGAAGGATGTTCTTTCAGGAGGAAGCAGCACTAAAAGCACTTTGAATCAAGATGAGTGGGAAACCACCCAAATAAACACATTTTGGACTATATATGTATACACACACACACACACACACACACACACACACACGTAGTTTGCCTTTTGATTTAATTTTTATTTGATTCTCAAAAAAGAAAAAAAGGTTAAATACTGCATTTGAAGGCCGGATGTGTTGGCTCACACCTGTAATCCCAGCACTTTGGGAGGCTGAGGCGGGCAGATCACAAGGTCAGGAGTTTGAGACCAGCGTGGCCAACACAGTGAAACACGGTCTCTACTAAAGATACAAAAAATTAGCCGGGCCTGGTGACACACACCTGTAATCCCAGCTACTCAGGAGGCTGAGGCAGGAGAATAGCTTGAACCTGGGAGGGAGACGGAGGTTGCAGTGAGCCGAGATTGTGCCACTGCATTCCAGTCTGGGTGACAGGGCTAGACTCTGTCATAAAAATAAATAAATGAATAATGCATTTGTGATTTTCATGAAATAAGATGTTAAATGAATCAGAGCTGTACATTACACCTATAGTGCACCTTTCTGAAGGATGTGTGACGTGAAATAGGCTGTCATTAGTCTTTGTTGTTTCTCTGTAAAATGAGACACTTTTAATTCCAATTTTGTAGATAAGGAAAATGAAATGCAGAAAGTTGAACTGACTGAATTAGGAACACATACCAATAACACAGGATGTGGCCAAAACTTACATCCTAGATCTCCCATGCTAAAAGTTGGCTTAGTGGAAAAAGAAGCAGTAAGCTTCCAAAAATTGTGCCTCTGTTACCCATAACACTCGCATCTCTTTGAAACAAACTTTATAATTTAAGAGCCCTTCTCCTACATGTATTTCTTGCTGGAATTTATATTCTGTTCATCTAATTATTAACCTACATTCTTCCTAAAAGAATTCAAAGTGGCCTTAAAGGGCTACATAAAATAAAGTAATATACATTGTATGAGAAAGAAAAGAGGAACAGGAATAAAGCTGATGAAGCAAATTTATACAAAGAGGTCCTATAATTTCAAGTTAAATTCAAATTTGGCTCTTGACTTTCTACCAGTCAAGGTGAAAAAGGAAACATCTCACAGCACTCGTGTGAAAAACCAACACACTTTTCCAGAAGCAGTAACTGCTAATTGCTCTGTGGTAGACCACTGGCTTTGATCCAGATGGCTGGTACACCTGGGCACATATGTCTTTCACTTCCTCTGCAAGTGAGACCCCAGGGAGTCAAAAACAGGGCTTCCAACACCTAATCCTGAAATAATTTTAACTTCCCAGTTGATTTACTATTTCCAGAGACTTTTCATCAATATAATGCTAATACAATTAAATAATAGAGGCTCACTCAAACTAAAAAGCTTGTGTTTATTTAGGGAAGATTTCATAGATGTTGAAAACTACAAATAATCACTTAAATTGCAAAAATGGAACTCAATAGACTCAACACACAATAGCAAGCCTAAGATCAAAGCATAAGATAATTATGTAAAAATAGACATTGGAAAGATGGAGGAAAGGATGCGGGTGATTTTTCTTTTTCTTTCTTTCTTTCTTTTTTTTTTTTTTTTTTTTTAGCATCTTTGGGTTATTAATTTGAACACCATAAAATTCACCCAATAATATTTGGTAAATTTATACAGTTGTTCAACCATCACCACAATCCAATTTACACTTGATCTTTAGCCAAAAGGCTGAGAATCTGTCACAGTCCAATTTTAGAACACTTTTATTATCCCAAGAAGTTCCCTTATGCCCATTTGCAGCCAATCCCTGCTTCATCTCCAGCCTCAGGCAATCAATATTCTCTCTTCTACCCCGATAGTTTTGCCTCTTCCAGAAGTTTCATATAAATTGAATTTTACAACATGCAGGTTTTTTTGTTTGTCTGGCTTGTTTCACTTAGCATAATATTTTTGACATTCATCTATACTGTTGGACATAACAGTAGTTTGCTCCATTTTATTGCTGTGTGATTTGTAGTTCATAGTTATATGACATTTTGTTGATTCACCTGTTGATATGCATTTGGGATGTTTTCCATGTTTTGGCTTTTATATATAATGCTGTAATGAACAATCACAAAAAAGCTCTTGCGAGGATACGTGTTTTCATTTCTTTTAAGTAATATCTAGGAGTAGAATTGCTGGGTTGTAGGGAAGGTATATATTTAACATATTGTAAAAACTGCCAAACTGTTTTCCAAAATGTTTCTAACATTTTGATCCAGTTGTACTAAAATTTACATTCCCACCATTAATGTATGATGGTTCAATTTCTCCACATCCTCACTCACAGTTGAGACTATCCTTTTCACTGTAGCCTATAGTGGTTAATTTTAGGTGTCAGCTTGACCAGGTTAAGAGATAGCCAGATAGCTGATAAAGCATTATTTCTAAAGCATTATTTCTGGGTGTTTCCATGAGGGTGTTTATGGAAAAGAGTGGCATTTGAATCAGTGGATTAGATAGAGAAGATCCACACTCAGCATTGTGGCTGAGCATCATTTAATCTGTTGAGGACCCAGATAAAACAAAAGGCAGAGGGAGAGGAAATTCTCTCCTTCTTCTGGAATTGGGAAATCCCCCTTCTCCTGTTGGCAGACATCAGAACTCCAGGTCCTTGGGCCTTTAGTAACTGAGACTTTATATGCATATACCATTGGTTCTATTCTCTGGAGAAGGCTTGACTAATATGTGGCCCTTCCAGGATGTTTTGAACAGAAAGAATGTATGCTAATTTTCAGTCAGTTCAGAAATAGGATCAAAACAAGCCACCACCAGCCCCTGACAAAATCTCCTTTTCTAAATGGTCTTAAAAGAATGAAAATCTACAGGATTGAAAAGCTTGTGCAACGTTCTTCTTATGGGTTTTTAAATTCTGTATTTTTCAATTTCCTTCAAGTAATCTATCTATTTTATCAACTTGAGCCTCATATCATATCAAAGGCTTACCAGAAAGCACCTTGCTACCTTGTGGATTTGCTTATGAGTAGGACAAAATGGAATCCTTAAACTAAAGAGGAATCTTTCTACATCTCTTATTCTAAAATGTTAAATATCAAACCAGGATCTTCACTCCAACCTAAGTAAGTTTGTATCCACCCCCCTATATGTAGATAATTTCTGTAGCTATAAAATAAACCTTTGGAGTACTACTTAGCTTACCAGGCATTGCTAATTTTCTTTCCCTTTAACTGCTTAATTCAGTGTTTTATGTTTTCAATTTCTTGATCATTCATTAAAAAATGATGGTGTGCTACTTGCTTAAAATTTCCCTGGAGGATAAAAAACACATTATATATTTGTGTATTTGTCACATAATTGATTCCCTTTCTTGGAAAGGATTTGATTGATAGATGCTAATTTTGACTACAGAAATGTAAGGTAATATCTCTACGCAATTTTCATGAGAATTGTGCCAGGGATGCCACCCAAAGCGAATTGCCACATGCCACAGTCAAAATAACAAAGGTGTACTTCTATAATCTTCCCACTAACATATCCGCTGCATTCTCATTCCATGAAGTATTTTTTCTAAACTTAATTACATAATGAAATAGCCTCATTTCCTACACTGAAAGGCTGCTACAGGGCCAGCAGCCCCTACGAGTTAGCCATCAGTCCTTCCTGTATTTACCTAATTGTGCTATTTTTCTTCATGGAGGTTTCAAGGTGATAACAGACAAGAAGGTAGAGACCATGGTTCACAATAAGGCAGAGATGCCTTGTTGTAGCCAGGCAAATGTCAGCTGTTGCCAAGAGACGTCACCAAGGGTATCACCATGATCGAGCCCTTGCAGACATTTGCAAACTTCGTTTCAGTTCAAGGGTCATAGCTCAAGGCACATAAAACTGACAATTAAATCAGCATGTGCATACAGTAGTCTCCTCTTAGCTGTGGTTTCACTTTCCATGGTTTCAGTTACCCATGATCAACTACCGTCCAATATATTAAATAGAAAATTCCAGAAACAGACAACTCATATGTCTTAAGTCATGCACCATTCTGAGTAGCATGATGAAAGTCACTGAGAAATCTTCTCCATTATCATCGTATCTACTGATTCAGGATGACAGTGTTTGTGTTCAAGTAACCCTTATTTTACTTAATGATAGCCCCAAAGCACAAGAGTAGCAATGCTGGAATATTGTTATAATTGTTCTATTTTCTTATTAGTTATTGTTATTACTCTCTTACTGTGTCTAATTTATAAATTAAATTTTATGGTAGGTATTATATATAGGAAAAAATACAGCACATATAGGGTTCAGTATTGGTTCAGTCCAGTATCAGGCACCCACTGGGGTCTTGGGGGAATCCTCAGAGGACAAGAGGGGACTGCTGTGCATTATCTCACCATGCTGAAAATATCTTTCAAGTAACAGAACACCACCTCTCCTTGTATTAATAATTAAATAATCATAAAAAGTTTCCTTGGTATGTGCAGAATTAAAATAAAAGGAGTGGATAGTTCAGAGAGGTGTTTCATCCAGGTCTTAATGTTCCACAAGCCTGTCTCTCAGGGCTGCCGTCGACAAATGTGCAGTGTCCAACCTGCATGACTATACAGGTGGTCCACTCTCTCTTGTAAACTCTATTGATTATGTCTTAACTTGGTCTCTCTGGCATCTGGATAATTAAGGGCCACACTTCTAACTTCTAACATATGCTTCTACAGACCCCTCAATTCTCTGTTGTCTTTTTTTTTTTTTTTTTTTTTTTTTTTTTTTTTTTTTTGATATAGAGTCTTGCTCTGTCACCCAGGCTGGAGTGCAGTGGTGCCATCTTGGCTCACTGCAACCTCTGCCTCCCAGGTTCAAGCAATTCTCCTGCCTCAGCCTCCTGAGTAACTTGGATTATAGGTGCATGCCACCATGCTGGCTAATTTTTGTATTTTTTTGTAGACAAATTTCACCATGTTGACCAGGCTGGTCTTGAACTCCTGACCTCAAGTGATCTGCCCACCTGGGCCTTCTAAAGTGCTGGGATTACAGGCATGTTGCCATGTAAGGTAACA